GTAGCCCATATATAAGGTCAGTTTGAGCAGGAAAATTGAAGGTGGCTAAGAAGAGATAGATATCGTCTGGCCAATGAAAAGTAGATTTGTCTCACTAATGATGATTTGTGATCGCTGGAAGTGCTACTGCGTCGTAAAGTGTTTTCCTGAACGATCTGATACGGGATACATTCATTGGCACTATTGATTCAGACACCATTTGTTGGACTATTAAGTTTAATAACTTGACTCGTGGGTACCTAAATGTTTAGTATTTTAATATTAATTTAATGCAAATGTATGCATACCCAATAATAGTAAACAGAAAATCTTTTGTAACTAATATACAATGTTGCGGCTCGGTAAATACGTCGACACTGAAATGAAAATCAGTCTAGCATAGGGAAAATTGGGGAATTACACCGCGAAATGGTGAATTGCGCAGCGGAGTTATTGTGAATCGGCATAAATTGAGCCAGCATAAACCGAGGGCTACTTGTATTGCACTCACTTTTTACTCACTTATTCTGTATTTCAACTCACTTCTCACACTTTTTCAAAGGGGAAATGGCACTCCCAGGCCTGCAAGGTGCATTGTCTGGCTGAAAATGATCATCTCCTTCAGGGAACATTACAGCCATAAACGAGTGTATGTGATTGGCAATGATGTTGAGGTAAGCTATTCTATTCAGAGTGTCCACAAATATCAAGGGACCTAGTGTACTCCAGGAAAACATTCCCCACACCATAATTCCACCGCCACCAGCCTGAAGAGTTGTCATTTGGCAGGAGGGGTCCATGAATTTGTGCTGTTTGCACCATATTCTGATCCTGCCATGTGCACGATGAAGCAGGAAATGAGATTCATTGCATGAGGACTAGGTTACTTTTTTCCAGTCCTCAAGTGACCAAGTTCATCATTCCTGGACCCATAACATGTTCCTTTTCCTATTTTTCTGTAATATCAAAGATACTCTTGATAGTCTCATGCTGCTAAAGCCCATCCTTTTGCAAAGTGTGTTTTGTTGTGCTTTGGGATATGCTTTGTGATGCACCTGCATTGAATTCAGCTGTAATTTGTCGAGTTGCTGTGGACTATATATGCTAATTGCCTTTCACCTCTCTCATTCACCAGCTTTTTCAACCAGACTTGTCCTTATCACTTGAAGTTTTTTTACTTAACTGCTACTCTCTAAACATTCAAGATACTGTTGGTTGAGAAAATCCTAAGAGAGTCATCATTTCAGAGATGCTGACACCAGCTCTTCTTGCACCAATGATTATCCCTCGTTCAAAGTTACTTAAATTTTTTGTCTATCCATTTTGACATTAATTTCCATGATAACTACATCATTCAAAGCTGAGCGAGCATACCTTACATAAAGCAACTCTGCATTGTTACGTCACTCTACATCACTGTTGAACTGATTTACTTTCAAATAAGGGGTGTGTGTAAATTTTTTGGCCACTCAATGTATAATATAAACAGCACATAATAGATTAAATTCTACAATGTTTATTTTACAAATAATTTTTTAAATTAATGTATAGAACTGTTCTGAAAATCAAGATAATCTTGCATGGCTAGCATTATAAATTTCTTCATACATCATGGGAAAAGCATATAATAATCTTCAAGGGAGAAAAAATCAATTAAAATTCTAAACTAAAAGTATCAAAAAAGTTCCTTAAATTAAGACAAAATCTATATGAAAATTTTTTTTGTAATAATAATTAATATACTTCCTAAGAATTTGTCAAATATATATAATTTCATTATCATTATTATTGTGGAGCTTATAAAAAGCAAAAAAAGTCTTGATTTTTGATGATGGTAAACTTAAAATGAATTATTCTCAAATCACACCTAAATTCAAAATTTCCAGCAAATAAAAGTAAAAAATACACATCAAACGTTTTCAGCCACTAAATTTATTGGCCTTCCTCAGGAAACACAAACTGGAAAAACCATTCTATAAATAGAACGTAGCTGCCTTTTAAATTTTTAAAAGAACGAAAATGGCTGTGACATATCGTGTATGACATATATTATGAGTCTAGATAGCGTTTCCACTCATGCTCGCCTTGTAGATCTCTACTGCTTCTAAAATTTTATATTTTGCCTGTCAAAAACCTTGTGTATTAGCTTGGCCTGGTCCCAACAGGGGGAAATCCCTGGATCGCTGGCATACCATGCTAATGCTGTATTGATGTTACCTTTTAGCACGTCATATTTGTGATCTTTTAGTCTGGCTTGCAGCGATCTGTACGTGGATACTATGTAAGCTAGTACTCTGTCAAACCTCTCGTCATATAGGGGGATGTGGTAAATTCCAGGAGCCACAGCGTCTTCAGTGTCGTCCTTCACATTTGAGAGAAAGCGGAAAACGGTGGGTTTCCTTCTATAGGTAAGGAGTACGTTTAAATTATTTGTGATCCTTCTATATATATGATATAATGTCGGTTCGTAGTCTAAGATCACTCGATTTGCTTCTGCTTTGTTAACCTTGTTAGATGACTGAGTTAGATATTTGGATGCCAGATTGTCAATAAACGTGCGGCCATATCCGTGGTAGTATGCTACTTCTTTGAGATGTTCCAGTTCCTTGTTGGTATCAGACAACTGTGTAGAGTGGGAGTAAGCTCTGGCCACAAGAGTGCGGAATGTGGATTTCTTATATGACCATGGGTCCACTGAATTGGAAGGTATGAATAGGGGGATGGAAGTAGCCTTGTGGTAAATTGCTGTGATGAATTTGCTATCAGCTACTTGAATCCTGATGACTAAGGAATTAATGCTATTACCGCTCTCCTGATCCAACTTTAGCGTTAATCCGTAGCTGTTATTATTAAACATTTTTAACACATCCCCAATATTACGTCAGAGGGATCGCAGAAGGATCGCAAATTATTTAAACGTACTCCTTACCTATAGAAGGAAACCCACTGTTTTCCGCCTTCTCTCAAATGCGAAGGGCGACACTGAAGACGCTCTGGCTCCTGGGATTTACCACATCCCCCTATATGACGAGAGGTTTGACAGAGTACTAGCTTACATAGTATCCACNGATCCTTCTATATATATGATATAATGTCGGTTCGTAGTCTAAGATCACTCGATTTGCTTCTGCTTTGTTAACCTTGTTAGATGACTGAGTTAGATATTTGGATGCCAGATTGTCAATAAACGTGCGGCCATATCCGTGGTAGTATGCTACTTCTTTGAGATGTTCCAGTTCCTTGTTGGTATCAGACAACTGTGTAGAGTGGGAGTAAGCTCTGGCCACAAGAGTGCGGAATGTGGATTTCTTATATGACCATGGGTCCACTGAATTGGAAGGTATGAATAGGGGGATGGAAGTAGCCTTGTGGTAAATTGCTGTGATGAATTTGCTATCAGCTACTTGAATCCTGATGACTAAGGAATTAATGCTATTACCGCTCTCCTGATCCAACTTTAGCGTTAATCCGTAGCTGTTATTATTAAACATTTTTAACACATCCCCAATATTACGTCAGAGGGATCGCAGAAGGATCGCAAATTATTTAAACGTACTCCTTACCTATAGAAGGAAACCCACTGTTTTCCGCCTTCTCTCAAATGCGAAGGGCGACACTGAAGACGCTCTGGCTCCTGGGATTTACCACATCCCCCTATATGACGAGAGGTTTGACAGAGTACTAGCTTACATAGTATCCACATACAGATCGCTGCAAGCCAGACTGAAAGATCACAAATATGACGTGCTAAAAGGTAACATCAATACAGCGTTAGCATGGTATGCCAGCGATCCGGGGATTTCCCCCTGTTGGGACCAGGTCAAGCTAATACACAAGGTTTTTGACAGGCAAAATATAAAAATTTTAGAAGCAGTAGAGATCTACAAGGCGAGCATGAGTGGAAACGCTATCTAGACTCATAACATACATCATACACGATATGTCACAGCCATTTTCGTTCTTTTAAAAATTTAAAAGGCAGCTACGTTCTATTTATAGAATGGTTTTTCCAGTTTGTATTTCCTGAGGAAGGCCAATAAATTTAGTGGCCAAAAACGTTTGATGTGTATTTTTGACTTTTATTGCTGGAAATTTTGAATTTAGGTGTGATTTGCAAATATTACAGTTCCAGTTTATGGTGAGATTGTATTTAAAATGAATTAATTAAATCAAACTGCTTATTTAAGACATACAAAATATCAAGCATTTCTTGAACTTCTAACATTAAAAACTTGTATCTTTTAAAACTTAACTTAAATTTTCTTTTTGATAATACTATATTCTTTGCAAGTTTATTTTTGTACATTTTTACAAAAACGATTATTTATACCAGTGGTATTCAGTCTATGGGTCGTGACCCCAAATGGGGTCGTGGAAAATTATCTTGGGGTCGCACTGTTAAAATGTTTGAATACCATTGATTTAATTAAATAATAATAAATTTTTATTTTCCAAATGAAACAAAATTGAAAAATATATTTGCTTTAATTAATTAAAGATATATACAGTATATAAAATAAGTATGTGCATACATTAAGATTTTTGTTAAATTTTGTAACTCAATTTATTTGTCTTCGTAATTTTTATCAAATAAATTTTAATGGCATCACTACCTTTTTTTAAACCATTCAGTCAATTTTAAATGTGAAAAAACTGTTTTATGGTTTTAAAATATGATATAATGTTTGATGAAATAAAATTATTAATTACATTAAAATGTTTTTATTTATTTTAATTTTACTGCTGTCAAAATTCAAAAAGGTATTTAAATCATAACTGTTGCTAACATACAAGATTATTAATGACAATGTAGTAAAATATAACTTAGCATATGTTTTTTTCATTTAAAAAATATTTAAAACTAATAGCTTAACAACCCTGCTAAATGAGAAGGACTTATGACATCAAGTCAAGACAGAGAAAGAGACACAAGATCACCATACATAAATTTTAATGATATGGGAATGCATTTTGGTTACTAAGACCTTTTATCAGCCCATTTAAAAGTTGAACATGGCAGTTAACACTATGAATAATTGACATATTGTATTAGACAAAGATTACAATCTGGTATCAAATAACTCAGTGCATTGAGTATACAAAATATTAGATACTTTCATGGCTTAATTTTAGTGATAATAGATAATACTAAATTAAACACAATAAATTTGTACAATACAATAATAAACATAATTGATGTTTGAAATGATGCTTGTAATGATGCTTGTACAGCATCAAGCCTACATTGTTATTAATTCTGTCTTTTTCTGTTATATTTATTTCTGTGTGTTCTTGAAGTTTTTTAAATTGTTATTTTCAGTTAAGATATATTTTAAATTGTTTTTTGCAATTTCACAACCTTCCAAATTGCATTGTTGAGCTACAGATGAGAGTAGAATATTCTTAATAGCATTTGTGTGTTCTTTATTCTCGTTTTCAGTTTTCTTCTCATTTCACTGATGCATCTTTTATTATTTAAACAGCTATAATCAAAGGAATACACTACATTATCTTTTTCTAAATCATTGTAATCTTTAAGTTTTTTATTAATCAATTTTCCTATTGTTTTTGTGTGATTGGTACGAGAATATTTATTTAAATTTTTTAGTTCTTTTTTTAATTTTTTCAAAAAAACAATGAATGTATGTATTCTATTTTAAGATAATTTATTTTAATATTATTCTGTTGCTTTTTATTTATTTTATATTCTATTTTGAATGTTTTTAACCAGTTTAACAGTAATGGTTTTGGGTAGTCACTTAGACTGAACATACTGATTATATATTAATTTAATGTTTAAAATGTGAATAATCGTACTGGTTACGCTCAATCCAACATAGAATAATTGATTTATTCTAATTATTCATATTTTTAACATGATTTTATGTATAATAATGTTATAATTATACAGTAGAATTTACTTATTGTAATTATAGTGTTTCACACATTTTATGTTATCAAAATTAGCAAATCTGATAGCATAATAAATGCAAATAAAAAAAGAAAGAAAAATTAAGAGTTGATTAATAACCCCAACAATATAGTCAAACCTCATTTATCTTTATCAAATGGGACAGACCCAATCTATCTATATTAATGAAAATCTGGGTAAACCAAAATTAGTGGGATATTGAAATAATAAAAATTTTAAAATTTTCATGCTGAAAATACTTTTTAATGATTGAAAACAAACAATAGACAAATAAACATTGTTAAAAACAATAGGAACATTAAAATTAGATAAATAAGTACAGTACATAAAAATTATTCAGTACTTGTAAATAGTATGTTACATGAAATTGCTACATACTACATAGGTATATGTTAAGGTTGTAAATGTTTCAATGATCTCACAAAAATCACAAAAATAATTTTTCCATAAAATGTATAAAAATTTAAAAAGAAACAACTATTCAGACCAATCTTAATGAATGGTATCTGGATAAACAGGGTTTGACTGTACTTTATTTTAATGAAGTGATATATTTCTTTTACATTCAACTAATTATTATTTTGATTTCAGACCAGTACACATGCTGCAGAGTCAGGTGCCTGCCATTGTTAAAGCTCTTCATCGTCAATTGAAAGAAAAAAGTATCAAAACAAGACAAGGATCATTTTGTGTTTTGACAGAACTTGTTAATGTTTTACCTGGTGCTCTATCAGATCATATTCCTGCATTGATTCCTGGAATCCAATATTCTTTAGGGTAACAATAAATTGTTCAATTTTAACAGTAAAATATTTTCTAATTTATAATGATTTATTTCCTATGGAATTGTAGACTTTTAATATGGATAAGTAGTTTTATATTCAAATAAGTTTAATTTATCTCCAGTTGACTGAATTTGTCATTTTATTAAGCAATCTATTATTAATAATTTTATGATTCAGACATCACCTTTATTGCAAATTTATTTATTTATTTATTTTGTTTTTTATTTTTTTTTAAATACAAAGAAAAAAATTGTTTAATATTATGTATGCAGTTCAGTGAACATACTACTTGTATTTGGTATTTGTAAACAATACTATTTAACTGAGGTAAAATTATATTAATATTTTTCAATATGAATCCAGTTGAGGATTAGACAACTCTAAGTAATTAAATTTTTTTCAAATGATCTTGCTTAGATTTGTAACTTTATTATGAAGAAGAAAATTGAGAAATATGCACAATATTGAGTATTTAGAAAGCAAACAGTTCAAAAAGAACAAATAAAATTGTATGTATTACAAAAAGAAACATGTCATAGTTGATAAAGCTTACTATATAGCTGATCTGTTGCTGGAAAAATATGTGATCAATTTTCCAATTTTTGTGCATCAGAAAGACTTTCCTAATTGCAATACTCTTGAATTTTTATTTATTTGTTTGTTTTCATTTTTAGAGTTTGTTTAAAAAAATTTATATAGAAACAAATATATTCTGATATCCAACTGCTGTTTTAATTTTTTTTTTTTTTATGTGGAAGGGTTTGAAGTTTTGTAATCTCCTAAAATATGTTAAAACAACATGCTTATTATTTAGAGATACTGTATGTACTGGCTTGGCCTGGGCAGTTTTGTAATTTTTGCAACATTTGCAGTCAAGTCAGGGATTGAAAAAGTTCAGGATTTTTAAATAAGGAAAAAACAAAAAAAAACTTACTTTTATTTGAATGTTTGCAACAATGATTATATTTCTCAATGTTTCTCTTAAGTATATCCTTAAATAAGATCCTTAAAAATAAGATCCTTAGGCCCAGGTCAGACATTATATATAAGTTCATATGTTTTTGAACTTAATAATGAAATATAAATGAAATAATTTAAATATTTATTATTGACAAATGAAATTTTATAATACTTAAAAATTTATTAACATTTTTGTGGAATGGTTTTTTATGTAATTTAATTTAATGTTAGAAAAGTTTAGCATAATTTGTACATTTATTTTTTCTGGTCTCTTTAGTAGTAATAAAGCATATGCAATGGCATTGTGTAATAATGCTAGCATTGTCTATATCACGGGTTCCCAACCTACGGGTCACGACCCAGAAGGGGGTCGCGACGGGTTTTCTGTGGGGTCGCCAACTTATGCGGTAAACTAAAGCAAAAATTTCACTATAATGCAATATTTATTTTTAATGGTGTCTTAAAAGTTTGAATAATTTCATATATTTTTAAAAAATTAAATCAAGTGTAATCTGGGTATGCTATTCTGTCACAGTTGGTTGAATCATGTGTTGAGAGTTTTGAGAGGAATAAATTAAATGTTGAGAATTACACGAGGTTGGCGTTAACAAAATCTCACCCGCGAATTTTGAGACTGGTTAAACCCCTTAACGCCTGACTGATTTTAATTATGATGTAATCAAGCATCAAAAATACATAAAAAATACTTAAAACTGAAAAAAACGAAAGAAATGCGTTAATTTTGAAGAAAAAGCTTCAAATTTTATTTTCCTTTGTCTCGCCTTTCTGTGAAATCTGACACTGATGAGTCATTGTTTACACAGCTGGATGACCTTGAACACAGCTGGAGTTGGATTTCCCGGGACATTCTCATAGAAGTCTCGGGAGGCGATGGGTTTATAGTAGGGTGAATACTAGCTGGCCGTATATTTTTAAATATTTTTAAAAAATTAAGATTTTAATTGCGATTTCCGCCCCCCTAATTAATTAAATTTATATATAATAAAATCGATTAATTAAAAAAATTAAAAAACTATCGGAGGTCGTTTTTGACATCAGAAACTAGCTTTAAATAACTTTACCGAAGGAAAATCCGTGCGCTACAACTTAGGAACCATGAAATAAATTTGATAAAAAACTCCCATTAAAAAACAGTTAAGCCTTAATCGAGCCTTATCAAAGGCTCATTAAAATCGCGATAAAATTTTTTGCGCGGGCAAAAAATTTTGAAAAAATTTGGGGAATTAAAAAACATTCCAAAAATTGAAAAAAAAAAATTTTTGTCAAAAGTGGCCTTAGCTCCCGGATTTTACGTAACGCTATGTAACCTTGACGAGTTATCTCGTCAATGGGCGTTAATACATGCAATTTCAACCATCTTATTAAATTAATTATTAAACATAATTTAAAATAAAGTTATACTAAAAAACTAATTTCATTGTTTTTTAATTACGTTATTAAAAATACCTTTTTCAATTGTATCGGGGTCGCGGGTCACTTGGCTTTTATAAAAAGGGGGTCGCCACCCGAAAAAGGTTGGGAACCGTTGGTCTATATGATATGCTGGAAGAATTTGTATGTAGTAATTGCAAGATTCCAGTGGCTGCCTGAAACCACGGCTAGTACAGAACTCTTTATACACTGTTTTCCCATACATACATATCTATGATAAAGTTTGGTTTAAAAATTAACTCAAAATTTGATAAACTGAACAGAATGATAAAATTTTATAGAATTAGCAGTTTTGTATTTCATAATTTGTGATTTTGTTTGACGTTTAAATTTATATTTATTATGAAAATTTAATTTATGAAAAGCTATAAAAAGCTATAATTTATTTTTTTATTTTGTATTGTTGTGATGTGATAACAATTAGTATATATATATTGCTTTATCAAAATCATATATTTTTGAACTTAGTGGTCATATATGTAATATACATTTTATTTACTTTATTTTTCTAGAGAGAAAAATTCCAGTTCAAATATGAAAATAGATACTTTAGCTTTTTTAAATTGCCTTCTAACGTACCATAATCCAGAAGTTTTTCATTGTCATATTGATGTTCTTGTTCAGCCTATAATTCATGCAGTAGGAGATATGTTTTATAAAATAACATCAGAAGCCTTACTTGTACTTCAGCAATTAGTAAAAGTAATCCGACCTCTTGGTAAGTATTTAATTATGATACATGATAATTTAGAATTTAAAATGATTTAATAGTATCCATTAAAGTATATTAGGAAATCATAATAAAAGAAAAGTTTTATCATTTAATAAAATCATTAATGAAAAATGTACTAGTTTGATGAGTTTACTGTGAGAAATTAATTAGTACTGAAATGAAAAATAATTTTTCATTTCATTACTAATTTGAGTTTAACTCTTTCAGTAAAAATATATCATTTAAATTAAAATAGGCAAAATTCCATGACTTTTTAATTAAGTTTAGGTGTTTTTTATTTATTCATCTTCTACAGAGTGATTCTCTCACTAGGAAATCTAGACATTTCTCAATAAAGTTTTTATTGCTTTTTAGTTTTCTATTAAAATTTACATACACTTACCTTCTTGCAAAATAAGATCTTAGGCCCAGGTCAGACATTAGATAAAAGTTCAAGAGCATTGTCTATTGACGTTAATGAGATTTTGATGAGTTAAAACAAAATAAATACAAAATATTTCACAAGCAAGCACTTTCGACATGTATAGAATGTCTTCTTTAGGCAAAACAAAAACAAATTTTACAACCTTGATATGAATTTTAACATTAATGTTAATATGTTCTAATTGGAGTGCACATGTTATTTTTAAATATTTAATGTTAGTCTGTACTAATTGGAACAAAAGTGTTAAATTTAAATGGTATGCTATTAAACTTACACCTGTAATTAACGGTCAAACTATAATTTAATATTATTGGCAGCTGTGATTTTAATTTTTTTAAATTATTAAATAGTGAAACCCATATTTTTGGGAGCTCTAAAGTGGACCTATTACACAGCTCACTGTAGAGCTCCCAAAAATGATTCCAAGTCAGACGTATGGAAATTTTGTGGAATGGCAGCCATACAGCTTCTGCATAGTGTTTTTTTCCTTTGTGGACATAAAATGGAATAAATTGTTTTGAGTTAACATTTGTTATGGATGCTCATTACCTTACAGTAGCAGTGTTTTTTGGGACTTCAATTTAAAAAAAAAAAATAGAAAGTAATGTGTACAGTACATCAAGTAGTGAGGAGTTCTTTATTACAAGAAACTTTTTGTATATTGTTTAATCAGCTTTGAGAAGATGAATCAGAATTTTTTAATTATTTCAGAATATTATTTCTGACCTTTGATGAGTTGTATCATACTCTGAAAAATACCCACAGAAAGAAGAGATACTAACATAGTTGGAGAATATGTTGACTATGCACTTTCTACATAGATGTCTTTTTCATTCATGTGAATTATTCAGTATGATTTCCAGCCAATCTGTGGCCAGAAAACAGCAATGTTCCACAGATTTCCATTAAATGTAAATTATTGCATTTAAATTAATAAATCATAGCAATTAGTATGGCTGCTTTTCTACAGATATTCCACACATCTAAACTGGCCAAAGCAAGTGTTGAAGCACTTTTATATGCAAGTTATTGAGGAGTGTTTGTTTTTTAGTGAGAAAATAGCTCAATAATAATGTTTAGTCTTATATCATATGCAATGTTAGGGATCTTGCTAGCTTTTTCAAATCTTTAGTTTTTTTGCTAATGTCTTGAAAACTGTAGCAAAATTTAAAGTTTTGTAGCGAAACAAGTAATGTAAAAAAAAAAAAATGCTTTCAACGTAACAAAAATTGTAATTTTATTTTGATATCAGCCAGTACAAAATTAGAAATGCCATAATACACTCAGTCATAGTAAGGTCACAATTAAAAGCATTTGTTTTTCTGGTACCATACAGTAAAGGCAACTTGGAAATCAAATTCGCTTTGAGATGGACCATTGATTGATATATTCATCAAATTTCTAACATTTATTACATCTATTGTATATTGTGGTTTTAATGACATTCATTTTACTAAAACCATTCTCAAAGTCAACAGTATGTACCGGAATTGCAAGGGCATATTCTAAAATGAGGAAAATCAGAAACAAAGTAATTTGTGACCATTAATTGGTGGACAACTGAGAGATAGCGATCCTTGCACCTGTTGATAAGTATTCTTTTAAACATCCCCCATTCCACAAGCAACTCAGTCTTCTCTACATTTGTCTATGACTGCAGCAAAGTATGAAGCAGTAATATTTATCTCCAAAGTCATAATAACTTTCTGAGTTTGTACTGGGGATGTTTCTAGGTATCAAGACTAAACAATTGTAGCTTTCCAAAATCAAAATTTATGTTGCAAGTTTGTTACAAGATAATGCAAGGAGGTTTGGTATACTCTATCCAATGCCTGATGCTCTTTCACATTATCCTTTATAATGTATCCTTGAGATTAAATCTCTCCTGTAGTTGATGTCTTTTCAGGAACTTTTTCTAAGAACTCTTTATATGTGGGGCCATCTATATTTTTTAGTGAATTCAGGTAGGTGATCAATTGTACATGTTACTAGTCTAAAAAGTTTCAAATTACATGCTTTTTTTTTTTAAACACCAGGCATATCTGTTGTAACACATTGAGAATATCAGTCAAATAACCTGAAATTGCAATAAACTTGTAACAGCCTACACTTTTTAGCAGTCCTTGGTCAACTGCTGATTTATCCTCAAGAAGAACTGATATTAATGCTGATTATGTCTTTAATACAGCTTGAAGACATCTGTTTAAGCTTAGTCAGCATGTTGGAAAAATTCAGATAAATTTTTTTTCAGCACTATTCAAAACATTTGAAAACTTTACAAAGTTTTTAAGATGTTTTGAATATTGCTGAAAAACAGTCTTATTCTTTTTCGTGATTGATAAAAGTATTGGAATATTTTGTTTCATACATCTTGGTATTTCACTAGTTCCAAAACATGATCAGCTGCCTGGCAACTTGCCAATGCAAGCTTGTGGTCTATACAATATATTGAAACAATGTGGTGCATCCTTCTTCAACAGATTGTAACACCACTGTTTCTGCCAACCATGACTTGTAATGCCTGCTAGTTTGTCCAAAGGAAAGTCATATTCATGCAATATACCAGCAAAGCATCATAAATATCTTTAGCAGCACAGCCAGACAGTTCTTGAAGTTTGAGAAAATCAGTATGGACTTCTCCAGCTGAAACATACCTCACATAAACAATCATACACTGCTTTACACTGCAATTTGTACTTTCATCAATGCATGTAGAGTACCATTTACAAGCTTTAACTCTTGACAATATTGAATCAGTGATAACTGAAGAAATTGCTTGTTCCATTTCTCTTATGCTTTCATAATGCTCATAAAATGATTTCAAAGCATGCTGTATGTCACTAACACCAAGATCAGTGCACAATTCTTTCATGGCAGAAAACTTGCTAGTAGCCACATGCTTCTTTGCCTGAAAATACAGTATCTGCATGCATTTCTTGACAGCTTCTGATTGAGAATTACTGGCAGTTACTGCCCTGGTCCATTCTTTTATTTTCTATCATGTTGTGTGCTGGACATGGAAAGAGATGATCCTTGCTTTTTTCATGCTGTTTTAGACTATCAACCTTAACCTATTCGATGTTGAAATTTTTATTTGTTGCCTGTGATGCCATGTTGAATTTTCGTCGATGTTAAGCTTAAAAAATTTATTAAAAGATCTATTAAAGTAAAGAAATGATACAAATACAGTATTATTTAATAGACATATGCCTAATGTTCAAAGAATGTACCATGCTTAGTACAGAGTGACCATATCTCTAGTTTAAATTAAATACTTATCGTCAGGATCTGTCAGCAAGTACCCAGCTTTTACTCACCAGTTGCACTTGATTTAATGACTGCTGTATTTGTTGAAATGAGCCTGCACCCATTTGTATTGTTGTTACCACTTACTTGTCAATGAAGTAGACAGTGAAACAATCTATGACAATTGTTTTTAATTATTTCTGGTCATTGGCACTTTTACTTTCTACTGAGCCAGTAACACTTTCAGAAGCAGGAAAGTTGGTGATATTTTGGTTATCACTGCTACCAGGAGCAATTTTAGTGTCTGATTTCTGTTTCAGAAACTTGTCCATTGTGCAAATCGTCTTTGTGAACAGCATGTGCACAACAGTCTGATTTTGATACCAGCTTGATGCCAAGATATCATTTCACGGCAATGTTGCCAACCTAATGAAAGAAAATTATAGCATCTGCATCCTTGGAATTATTGAAGATGTCATGATTCCTATTAATGTTATTTGAGAAAATATTTAGTAATAATAATAACAACAACCAAAATCTGTTTGTAGCTTCATTTGTTGTCTGTCTTTCTCAACAGATGGCGGTACTTCATAACACATTGTAATATTATTTATTATATATGATTATTTCTTAGTTATGTTGTTGTTATTAATATTAATAGTAATGTTATCAATTTTATTAATACAATATCCAGAGTGGGATTTTTGACCAGATTATGTTACTTCATATCATTTGGCAATGCCATTTTTTATTTAAAATTAGTCTTCTCATTTAAGAAACTGAATGGATATTAAGGTCTCTATTACACAGAAAAGACAGCAAGAAACCTTTTTCAAGGATAAAGAATTTTTAGTACTGTTCAGTATCTGGACTCAAATGGTGGAAGTGACTATATCGTCATGGTCTGCCATATTATCCTGATTGAGTCAATTTGATAAAAAGTAGCATTCTATGGGAACATAATATATTAACTAGGGAAAGAAGATGGGTTAAATACTGTACATTTCACTCTTTTTTCCATATTGCAGTAACATTAACAAGAGGCTCTGACTGATCTGATTGGGACAAAAGGCTAGACCATTAACTACATAGTTCCTCTCAAGCATGATGGAAATCTATCTAATATAATAATAATTTCACTTAAAATTATTGTACAGACATCGCGGTCCATTACAACTAATGCTTTCTACCCATAGAGATATGAAAGCATATTTGAATTCTGAAATATACAAAACACATTGTCATACAGAAAACTATCTCATTTGTCTAAGTGTGAAATTTCTCATTGCTTTTTCACAAATTTTCAGACGAAAGT